ATAAGAAGCTATTATTATGGAAAGGCACAGAAATACAAGAGGAGTTTCACAGCTCTCCATAATAGAAGAGCAGAGCTTATGATTTGTTTCTATAGGTGTTTTAATTGTTGTCTACATACAAATTTGTTTTAGTTTTCTCTATGGGCAGGAAAAGATGATGTGGAAAAAACGTGACAGGTCACCTAACATAGTGTTCCAAGAAGGCAACACATACTGTGTTTTATTTCTTTAAATATACATTCCTTCCTTGCTTTTTTGTGCATTGGTTGAGTAATATTTTCAATGTCTGTTGTAGAAATAATTTCTTAGGAGTTTTGAGTGTATGGAGTGTAATCTGGTGATACCTGTGGCAGCACTGTGTTCAGTTTTTGGGGGATATGGCAGAAGCAAGTGTGAAAGCGGCACATAAGCACTCAGGACTATTATATTTGAAGTGGGTGGAATGTAGCTGTAGAGATGTGTAATTCCACACAGCTTCTGCTAGTGTACACTCTGATTCTGTCACATATCATAAGCTAAGATTCGGATGAGATCTCTCCTGGGAATATATGAGTACTAAAGGAAGTAGTATCAGTAACTTGGTAGGAAATGTGGCTTACCCTGGCTGGTAACTGACCCAGGTATCTGTATGTGAGGTGACACAATGATAGCAAAAAAATGATAGCTTACGTGTTTTCTGAGAATATGTAAGGCTGTAGGGATGATCTGTTGCGATCTCAGGTGGCTATAATCCCTAAGAATAAAGATTTCAAACATCAACTTTGACCTTTGATGAAAAATACATGTTTCCAGCTTCCCATTCTTCAAAAGTAATAGAAAAGTAAGATCTTTTGTCCTCCCTTTTTACTGATGACTGTTCTGGAGAAGCTGAAATTAGCGAGCATTTGCATATCATATGACAAAGCAAGGTGGTGACGGAAGTGTTGAATTTTTACTTCATCACTCAAAGAAAGATTGTTGTAGACTGGGTAAGTACATGTATACACTTCTCTGTATACTTCCCTTATATGCTTGTCCTGGTTTTATACGCTGTTTTAGGCATTAACTTTTGCCTGCTACCAGGATATCGGGTATACAAGGGAATTTGACATCCTAGTCATCAGGCCTCTGTTTGAATAGATTATGTTATAGTAGCTTTCTGGCCAAGATGTTTTAATTTACAGTTACATTAAAAAGGGTTAAAAATGGTTGTTGCACTTTCAGGTTAAATGAGAAACATGTCTCTTTGCTTTTTTAGACAATTTCAAGTTATAAAGTAATAAAAACAGCTCTTCAGTGAGATGGAGAGACCATGCATAACTTTTTTGGGTCACAGTTCATAATCTTAGAAATAGTTGCCTAGCACAATTCTAAACTGAATAATGAGAAGTTTAAGATAGCAGTGTACTTAAATTGAATGTAGGTTTTTTCTCTTTCTTTTGAGATTATGTCTAGTAATATTTGTGCTGTTACTAATTAAATAGGCTGTCTTTGCAATTCCAGCTACCAGTGCACTTCTGTGAGCACTTTCAACTTTGGAAATTGATTGTAACTCTTTTGTTAAATGCATTGGGATTTCTCAGGGTGAAAGCTACTGCTGTATTAGCATGTGATCCTGATTGTTAAATTTTTCCTTGTGAAAGTAGTGTTATGAGCTAAGTCAATGCACTATACTCATAGACCCAAAACTGTATGGATATTTTTGCACAAATTATGATCACTTAGAAGAACTAGCCAACATTACTTGATTTTAATTTACTATGGGGTGGGTAGGGATATTTATATTTTTAAATATATTTGCCACAAACATGTTTGGTCAACTGGCGTATCACAGAAATAAAAAGCAGCATCAGAGCTTTGACATGAAGTGTTCTGGCTGTCCTGCCTGTTGGTGATTGGAGTTGGTTGCGTCTTTTGTTATGTGCAAGGTTGCAGCATTCTTACTAAGACAGGTAACTCCTTGTATCTTTTTTTTTTTTTTTTTTTTTTTTCATGTTGCTTTTTGGTATCAGCCTGACTATTTTTGCCCCGTGTATAATAGTTTTGCTGAAGTTCTTTTG